AACAAAAGCTGACTAAGAGTCACTAGAACTGATCAAGCGAACGGGGTAAATATACGAAAATACGTACAAGTAGAAATGTTAAACAAAAAAATCAGATTACAATTAGATTCCGGATCAGATTTAACCATTATTAACTTACAGACGTAGAAGAAATTAAACAAACCGGCCATGTTGAGAACAGATAAAATAGCCATGTCGGTAACAGGAAGAAAAATCAAATTTGTGGAAAAGATTATCACAAATGTGACGTTCAACGGGATGACCAAGAAATTAAAGATGTATGTTCTAAAAAATACGGAAAATTTATTTGGAACTGAACTGGATGCAGAAATTTGACCTCTGGGATTTGCCGATAAATACTTTCTGCCAAAAAGTGGAAAGGTTATCGACCGAGGCAGAGAAATTGAAGGAGAAATTAAAGGAGAGTTTCCCCGACGTATTTTCAGCCGGTCTCGAGAGGTGTAAAAAATGACGGCCAAAATCGAACTAAAAGAAAAATGTACAACCCATTTTCAAGAAGAAAAGAAATGTACCTTTCGCATCATTAGAAAAGATAGACGAAGTGTTGGATAGACTCGTGAAAACCAGTATATTGACAAAGGTGGAATATAGTCAATGGGCCGCACCTACGGTTTACATGAAAAAGAAATCGGGTGAGATACGAGTATGCGCTGATTTCTCGACGGGATTGAATGCAGCGATTAAGGATTATCGCTATCCTCTCCCTAGTCCAGAGGAAGTTTTCACAAAGTTGAACGGAGGAAAATTTTTCTCAAAGATAGACTTGAGCGAAGAATACCTTCAAGTACCAGTAGATGAGGAAAGCTCGAGTTTGTTGTGCATAAACAAACATAAAGGATTATATAAGTTCCAGAAATTACCATTCGGGATCAAAGTCGCACCGGCGATATTTGAGCAAATAATGGACACTATGCTAGGCGGACTGGATTTCACGATCGCATACCTTGATGACATCCTGATAAAAATATTGATCAACACTAGGGACACGTTCAAGCGGTTTTCAGGCAGATACAAATTACGGTTTTAAGGTAAAGGAAAATAAATGTGACTTCTTTATGAAGGAGATAAAATATCTGGGCCATAATATTAACGAAGAAGGAAGAAGACCAGACCCAGAAAGAGCCACGGCAATAAAAAAAATGCCGACTCCAAAAAATTTAGCCGAGTTACAAAGCTTCTTGGGCTTAGTAAATTATTATCAAGAATTTATTCCTAACATGCATAAATTACGCGTACTCCTAAACGAACTGTTGAAGAAGGAAACAGCTTGGGAATGGTCATATTAATGTCAGAAAACTTTCGACAAAATCATTAAGTCTCTAACAGCAGATTTATTTTTAGCGCATTATGATCCAAAATTGGAAATAATAGTCACGAGTGACGCGAGTGCCTATGGTGTTGGGGCATGTATACTTCATAAAATGCCGGATGGGACACTAATATCCATCGCGCGTGCGTCAAGAACGTTACTACCAACCGAATAAAATTACTCGCAAATCGAAAAAGAAGCGCCGAGGATTATTTTTGCGATTACAAGGTTCCACAAATATATTTACGGTAGATTTTTCACCTTACCGACAGATCACAAACCGTTACTTGGATCAAAGAAAGGTCTACCTGTCTACACTGCTAATAGATTACTAAGATGGGGCACGATTTTATTAAATTGTAATTTCAAATTGGAGTATCTTCCATCAAACAAAATCGGGAATGCAAACGGTCTTTCGAGACTAATACCAAAGAAAACGGAGCCATTAGAAGATTCCGTAATTGCAGCTCTACGATATGAGGAAGATATTAGAACATCATTATGTAGTACAATTCGAAACCTCCCCGTCACATTACAGAAAATAAGAAACGAAGCAGCGAATGACGAATTTATAAAGGAAACGAAAACAAAAATTGCAGGAAAAGATAAGCATATATCAGACAGTTTTCCGTTATGTAATAATGTTCTGCTATATAATGAAAGAGTAGTAACCCCGAAAACGCTACAAAGGCGAATCCTCAAGGATTTTCACATGGGCCACCCAGGAAAGCACAGGATGAAATCCTTAATGCGAAGTTACGTGTACTGGTCAAACATGGATCAAGATATTATACATATGGTGACCAAATGCAATGGCTGTTCCTTAGCAGCCAAGGCACCTCCGATCACTCATAAGCCATGGCCTAAGACAGATCGACCGTGGTCGAGAATCCATGTAAATTTCGCAGGTCCATTAGAGGGTTTCTTCTACTTGATTGTAGTAGACAGTTATAGCAAATGTCTAGAAGTATTTCGTTGTAGAAAACCTACTTCTGAGACGACAATAAATTGCTTTCACGAGCTGTTTGCTCGTTTCGGAGTGGCTGATTGTTTAGTCACCGATAATGGGACACAATTTACAAGAATTTTGTGAAACGTTTCAGGTGAAACACATCAAATCTCGGCCATATCACCCAAGATCAAACGGGCAAGCGGAGAGGTTTGCAGATACATTAAAAAAGAGCACTAAGGAAAGCTTATGACGTACCAATAGAAAAGGCTTTACAACAATTCTTGCAAGTGTATAGACTTACACCGAACAGTACTACGCTATTGGTATTATCGCCGGCGGAAGCGATGTTCTCCCGAAAAATTAGATCGGTATTCGACAAATTACTGCCAAAACAGACAAAGCAATCACCTATGTCGTTTGTACCAAAAAGAAAATTTGGCCCAGGGGAGAAAGTATTTTAAAATGTTCAAAAACAACAAATCCTATTGGGAGTAAGGTGCAATAGAGAAACGAATCGGAAACGTGATTTACATAATTCAGGGTCCGAAGTTCTCGCATAAAAGGCACTTAGATCAGAAAGAGGCTGTTAGAGGATTCTAACGGTCTACCTTAGGAGGAAGAGGAAGTAATGGACACAATATTTGACACATTCAATATGCAAAGGCCTCAAGCAATTTCAGAACCGCGGAAATGAAGCAGAAAAAGAAAATTTACAGTGCTTTTGATGATTAATCCGAAGAGGAAAAATATTAAAGACCCCTGCGAGGTAAAAGCTTGGGAGGTGTGTGTCAAGGGTCCTTACCTATAACTACAGAATGAACTCTTCCTAACACTATGTATACTACGCCTCTCAAGAAAGAGGGATGAATCGAGTCGAGCCGATAGTAGTTCACTCCAAACCAGACTGACAGTCATACTAACACCTTCCATATCTTGTATTATTATTTCGTGTAATACACATTTTCCTGTTGTTATAATACAAATTTAAATCTCCCGTAGAGGCCTGAAGAGCAGGAGCGAAACCGGTTGCTTCGTTTTTAAAATATCATGTAAAATTAAGCTACACACATTAATTTCTGTAATTAAATTTTGTACCTTTAAAAATATTTTCAAATATATATATATATATATATATATATATATATATTTGAACTTTATTTCAATCCTTCAGAAGCTTCCGTCCTTTAGCTATGATTAAGTAATGATGAATATATCATTTTCTTTTATGATCGATTCCATCACGATTATGCTTGGGGAGTAATTATACATTCTTATTATTCAAAGTAGAGTCCAAGAGTTCCAAACCTCGGAGAATTCCAGTAAGATACTTTTAATCATTTCTAAGATACAACGGTTCAGAACATTATCTCATTGCTTTGTGACGTACTTTATCAAACGCACTTGCATAATCTATATGACATGGGTGTATATAAAACACAGGTGTACATCGTTTTGCATTTGTGTTGATCTTACTGATATCGTTCTGAGCTTAATAAATCTATTTTTGTGAAATAATAGTCTTAATAGAAATAATTGGTAAATTTCAAACGACGGTTGCATTGGCTGCTCGATTAATAAGTGCCGAATGTTTCCTTATAAGGTAACAGTTAATTTATATTAACCTTAAAATTACCTTCTTGCGGTCTTTTTTTAGTGTAGACAGGTAGACCTTTCTTTGATCCAAATATTGTTAGTAACGGTTTGTAATCTCTCGGTAAGGTGAGAAATCTACCGTAAATATATCTGTGGAACCTTGTAATCTTAAGAATAATACTTCATCGTATATGGATCAGTTAAAAAATTAGTAAAGGAGACATGGAAATTGGTCATCGAATAGTCTGCGACATGCGAAAATTTGTCCCACACCTCTAGATGCGAGCAATCTAAAACATTACCCGAAAACCTTGAGTCTTGATTTTTTTTAAAAATATACTCGCTAAGTGTAGGTTGTCATGGATTTTAACGCATAACACTTAACCCGTTCAGAAATGTCTGAAGAAGTCAATATTATACAATGGCTTTTTCACATCAATGATTAAAATTGCTTGGAGCGAATGAAATGTGTATAGGTCATAGAAAGGACCATTATTTTAAAAACCTAGGAAACAACAGAATCCCAAACAAAGAACTATACCAAAAAGTGCTTGAGGACTTTCAACAGCAGTAACAATTAAAATAGATAATTCAACGATTAGATATGTTCCCCTCTCATCCGGTTCACATCCCTTTCCACTTTACTGAAAAGTAGTAGCCCTATTTAGGATTGGGTTTAAGGTTCCTTCTAAAATCTCATTCTCTTTCATTCCCAGTAATCCTTTCTGTCTTAGTGGCATTTTCGCCTTGTTTGGGTCGAAATGATTAAAACATCTCGAAGCGAAAAGAATAATATAATCAATATGTTGATGTTTCACACTACTTCAAACAAAAGGTTAGGAAGGAAACCCCCATCAATACTGGAAAGAGCAATGACAGTTACTGGACTTAATAAATCTATTTTTCTGAAAAAATTGTCTTAATAGAAATAATTGGTAAATTTCAAACGACGGTTGCAATGGCTGCTCGATTAATAAGTGCCGAATGTTTCCTTATAAGGTAACAGTTAATTTATATTAACGTTGACATTACCTTCTAGCGGTCTTCCTTATTATTATAAAAGAGTCGAATATTTAACTGACCACAAAGATAATTTAGCTGACAGAACTATTTTTGTCTCAGAATTTATAGATAGATAGATAGATATGAACTGACTGTGATGGTTAAATCGATAGATATGAACAGGCTGGGATAGATAGATAGATAGATAGATAGATAGATAGATAGATAGATAGATAGATACTTGAATATAATTGAACAGACCTAGACATGACCAAACAAATAAATTAAGTTCAAAAGACAAATAGATTATCAGGAGGAGACTTCTAGATACAACTGTCGCTTTTAATCTAAGAAAAACATATCAAAAACTTATTTGTTCAAATATATTTGTCATACTTTTGCAAAAAGGCCAAGTTGTAATTAATAAAGACCATGTCATTGCACAAAATTGTCTTTTCTTTATTGTTTCTCCCATTTCAGTTACGCGGGGGTGGGGAAACTACCATCCGAGAATACGATTCCAACAAATAAAAGACCGTGGGCTGATCAAAAAGTATCGGGACTGGAACTGCAAATAAAAATAATATAAAGAATACATATCACTTCATATTTAATCTCCTTCGAAGTAGCCATCTTCTAAAGCCACACACTTTATCCAGTGTCGTTTCTATTGATGGAAGCATTCCTGGAACTGCTTCTTGCGATACGGGACAGCTGATTTCGTCGACATCTTAAAATCTTGTTCCTTTCGAGTGGGATTTTATTTTTGAAGTTGAAGAAGTTAAATATGTATGTATATATGTATATATGTACGGGGTCTGTAACTCGACTGGTGAAATAAAAAGAAAACTACAACACATATCAATTCAATATTTAATCTCCTTCGAAATAGTCCCCTTCTGAAGCCACACACTTTATCCAGTATTTTGAATAATAATTTCCTGCCGCTTCTTTTTCATCGACGTCTTAATTCCTTTTGCCTGGGATTTGATTTTTGTAGTTGCAAAAGTTATATTTGTATTTTTGTATGTATGTATGTATGTATGTGGCCGAATGGTTGTAACTTTCGAATCAAGCTTCTCGACTTGACGGTCGAACTCTCTGCTTTTGAGCAGAAAGGAACCTGGACGAGGTTCCGCCGAAGGGCAGAATCTCGTTCGGGGAGAATGACCAACCCGATCTCGTTTATACGGGTTATACAGGCATTTTTTGGCTGAGCCTACGGGCTCGGGAAACCTACTATAAACTCGGCCTTGTGCCACATGCAACCCTCGTGGGGGGGTGGCTAGATACCGAATGGTTGTAACTTTCGCATTCTGACGATGAGACCCGGGTTCGAATCTCACCATGATCGATTTGTCACGAAGGAGATGTCTTGATGTTATCGGACTGGAGGGTTCGATCCCAGCGTGTGGCACCTTTGGAAAGTGAAAAACCATACCACGGGTTGACTCAAGCCTTGTGAGTAAAATTGGGTAGACGGAACCCTTGAGTGCCGTCGATAGCTGTGATAGCACGAAGTCATCGTGGCCGAGGGCTTGAGTGTACTGGCTAGAAACTCTAACTAAGGTTTCCTCAGCATTGTTGCAGTATAAACCCCAGGTGGGCTCTTGAATAAACACAAATGTGCCTGAACAAGCGTCTGCAATAGGGATTGGCTAGCCGCCGTAATAGACGGGTTTCCATGAATCTGAGTGGCCAGCTAAACGTATGCTTGTATGTATGTATGTATGTAGGAGGTCTTATTAAAAAGTAACTCCACTAGTGCGATAAAAAGAAAACTACAACACATATCAATTCAACACTTAATCCCCTTCGAAGTAGTCCCCTTCTAAAGCAGCATATTTTATCCAGCATTATTTCTATTGAGGAACGCATTCCTGAAGCTCCTTTTTGAGATAGCGAGCAGCTACAGCGTAGCATTCTTTTACTTTTCCTCGACATCTTGAAATATTGTTCCTTTCAATTGAGATTTGATTTTTGAGGTTGCAAAAGTTAAATATATATGTATGTATGTATGTATGTACATACATATTAGGTCTGATTTAAATAATACCGGGACTGACGGTAAAAAAAAATAAACTACAACACATATCAATTCGGCATTTAATCTCCTTCGAAGTAGTCCATTCCTGAAGCCACACACTTTGTCCAGCATCCTTTGCGTTGATGGAAGGTTTCCTGGAACACTTGTTTTGGGATAGTGAGTAGTTATATCGTCGCATACTCTTGATTTTCTTGAAATCTTGTTCCTTTCAAATGAGATTTGATTTTTGTAGAGAAACAATTCGCAAACCGCGAGATCTGGGAGACATATGCTGGTTGTCGGAGGAACTTCGTGCTTGGCCAAAAACTGCTGCAAAATACATGGTCACATGAACATCTGTTGTGTGAAGAGATGACCACATTCTACACACTTTCTTTCCGAGTACTGCTTTGAACAAGGAAAGTGGTCGAGAACGTTATAACTTAGTGTCTATGCGCAACAGAGTTCAATATAAATCAGTATAAAGGGGTTTCACTTTTCGTACTTTGACACAGTTACCATAGCAACAGTCCTGATATTTTTTATCATAATTTTACTTTCAAAATATTTCCTTTTTTTTAAATTAATGAACAAGTACAGTGAGTGTCAGGTATTTGAGAAAACAATTTTACCGGGTTATAAAGAAAAGAATTACTGTATTGTTACTCGGCTAGATTTTAGAAGGATCATTTCTCTTTCGTTGTGGCGAGAACTTTCAGTTTGACACAGGATATAAAAAGTCAGACTTGGCAATGCCGTCAGCTAGGGCGACTTGCAGAGATAGACAGGTGAATAGGGGAACTACAGATGTCGCTTTGCAGACCCCAAGGCCGTTCACATTGCCTGTGATTTTCTTGAGGATTCTGAGCAATGTTCGACGTCACCCCCACCCATTTTTTCCCGTTTCACCCCAGAGTCAATGTTACTACCTGTATCACAAATTCTGAATAAAACGCAGTAAACAATCAAACGGAAAACGACCCACTATTGTTCCTAAGATAGCAAGTTACATATAAGAAAATATTGTATATGCAGGAAACATCCTTGATTGTATATAACAGACAAGTAAAAACGTCTATCTACAGTTCTGAGATTACGTCTTGTAATTATTTACACTTGCCCTCATCTTTATTGCCATATTCACGATGTTTCGGCCGTTGTACGCTCCGGCCTTCTTCAGCAGGCATCTCTCGGAATTTTGAACCGTACCCTTTATTTAGTCCACAGGAGTATATTGGTTTAATTCCACGTGCCATGCCTTTTTGAATATCTCAATTTTAACCCTTTAGTAACTCAACTCTCCAAGATTTTGTTCCCTCTACTGTGGCGAGATATTGAACTCACAACTCTTTGGATCAAATCAGTTTTTGAATTACTCAAACAACGCTTTTATCAACTAGGCCACATGGGGACAAATTGTCAAGAAGACTAAATAAAGGGCTCGGTTCGAAATTCAAACATATATCACCTGAAGAAGATCGGAGCGTGCAACGGTTGAAACGTTGTGAATACGACAATAAGATGAGGGCAACAGTCCGGACAATGTAAAGAGTATAAATAATTTTTTTTTTTAAGTTTTCCTAACGTTCTTAGAGTTTTCGTTTTGGAAGGACTAAGTGTGTGCCGAAACTGTCCGTACTGTGTTGCGAACGCGTGCCAGTACAGACGCAAAGGAGGCCTGAGTCGCGCGCGGACATGTCTGCTGAAGATCATCATATCCGGGTTTTCCCCGATAGCGGCAGAACAGATTGACATGTCCAGATACAGGCCTCTCTGCAAGTTGTCCAGATCCAGGTCTTTGTCAACTGACTCATGTCAACAAAAGCGACTAGCAACCTGGAGTCAGCAGTTGGCGAAACTCGCTTTACTATCGTCATTCAGTGACTTATGAAGACGCTCCCTTTGTTCTGCTGTGCTGTGATTTTTGAGGTAGTGGCCTCACTAGTCATTACTCGTATTTTGTTTGTTTGTTTTTTCCCTACCTGTGGCCCCGTCATTCTTAAGAAAACAATCGATTAAGAGTTTCAATCCAACCTCAAAACAACCTACCCTTATGTTATAACACAATGATTATTATCCCAAACTCTTTCGCCCAATTCCTTAGCCTTTTTCAAGGAGTTTGTTTTTGCTGCTGATGTTTGTGTTCTAAGGTGTAATGTGTAGTAGTAATAATCTTAGGCTATGTGTGAGGTTGTGGCTGTGAAATTGTTTGAATACCTAACGAAGACACGCCAACATAAAGTCATAGCAGCATTTGAACTATTGTTAAAAAAAAATCAACGCTGAGTATTGGCTTGAATTGTTTTATATAAAGAGACGCGATAAATTTAATCGCCGTTGGTAGACAGATTTCTTTAGAATAATTGTGTTATCTTCCGGAATTTTCCTAATGGGGAGAGGCAATTTATTTGTGGATGACAAGATGTTTTTTTTTATGGCAATCATATTACTTAAGTATTTTGCTTCGGGAAAAGGTTGTTCTCAGGTTTCCAATATAGATTATCGGTTTATGACAAAAGACGTTGTCTTGTAATGGACAATTAAATTGGTGCACTACACTGGTCGTTTTTATTTTCGAATACAAATTCGAAAGCAAAAACGACCAGTGTATCGGACCAATTTAATGCATGTCGTTATTTGGAACTATGGGTTTCAGAAGAAAGATGTGGAGACTCACGACCGGATGCAGATACATCCTGAATGGTAAAAGTATTTAATGAAGATTTTCATCTCAGCTTTATTAGCCTACATGTTCTGATTTTGAAACAAGCAACTTTAAGGTTTGTTAAGTGAGGACGACACGTTATTAGCTTGTCTTTTTAGGTATTTAATATTATAAGCCATTGTGTTGTCCGCGCTCAATTAACGAAGAAACCAGCTTCCATAATCTGGTCTTCTCGATTTTTGGACGTGGCACCATACAACCGTGGCATCGTCTGTATATATACACATGGAATCGGACCCAAGATTGGAAGCTCAGCCGATGTAGCGAGCAGTCAAGAAGGAACTACAAATTAGATTATAATTTAGCTTGTATTATTATTATTACCATTATTATTATTATTATTTTTATTTTCTTTGATTTCTGGCGTTTACACATTTCTTTCCGGGTCCCGCCCAGGGACCGAAGGTTAGAAATGGCGTCATGACACTTTCCACTGACAAAAAAAAAAAAAAATTACATAGATAAAGCCCTTCGTAAGGTGTGGGCTGT